TGGGGAGAAAGTAAAATTTTTCGGAAATAGGAAAAGGTGCTAGGATGCTAGAAAAACCCAGAAAGATGTTAGATGGAATGGGGAAGGAGGATCGAACTGACACAGCCATCTCACAATCACGATGCTGTACCCTGATCAAGACCTAATTGATTTGTCGTAGAAGTACCCCAAGCCACCTAACTAGATGGTACTGGCTAGTTGCACCGCGTCATTCTCATTCTTGCGATTCCATTAGCCCCATCCCTAAACCGACAGATTAAGTCCGTTTCGTGTACCACTACATCCGTTTCCAGATATTTTGAGCTCGCCTTTCCTGAAACCGCTTTTTTAGACCTTTTTTAGACTCGGTTATTTATCTTTTTTCTAATCTCAATAGTTGACTCTCTTTATGCTACCTGTTTTTGCAATAACAGATGCACTTGTAAGCAGGAGTAACGGCTCTTACATACCTCAGTTCTGTCCTTCTTCTCACCCCATTCCAATGTCCGTTCAATCATCGCTGACGCAAACTGATCAAGCAAGGTGGCCCGGAAAGGGCAGCCATCTGCAAAAATTGATATACGAAGTGAATCGTGAAACCAATTGATTCCCGATGCTGTTAAAAGGTGAAAATAGCAATCTAGTATCTCTGAAAGTAGGGTGCTAACTACTCGAGAGACTCTCAGTGAAGGGTTTGAAGCCGTAGGATTCATGACGTGATTATGAGACAGTTAATTTTGTCACATATTTTTACTCAGCTATGTAATACTGCTGTGTCAGGTGGTCAGGTGTTGCTCGGCTTTCATAGCATACAGTCTTGTTCGGTGCGGGAGGGTTGGTTTGGCGCGGTGCCAACATATTCTCCACCACTTGTGGTCGTCCGCCAGCTCTCACAACTGATGGAGAAAAGACTGGCGTGCGACAAATCCAGGAATCTCCCCTCCCCCTTGCAACGCCACAGCGTCGGCAGTGAACAAGACTGTACGTGATGGGGACATTTGAAGCCTTCAAAAAGATCCTAGGCTAAATTCACTCATGGCACCATAGGAGAATGAGCCGCGAAAAACAATACAGTCCTCATCACTGAAGCCAGTCGTAGCGTGGGTTTTAGCGCTGCGCCAGCCTGCTTTCCACATGCTCATGCAGGATACATTTGAAGGTAACCCAATAACAAGAGCTTTCAAAGGTACATAGCCGAATTATGCAACCAGTGCTGGGGTAGATTAATTTTCTCCAGGGGAACGCTTGAAAGGTTTATCGACTCAACAGAAGGTGAATAAATATACAAGCCAGATGTCATCCACCAGAGCCATGGAACTCACATTGATCCCTAGTCGGGAAGACATGCTTTTCTCCTGATTCTCGTAGGGAGGGGCTTGTTGCTGTCGGACTGTCGAGGTTTGCTATCAGTTCATCCATGATCGTCGTGAAGATCTGCGCATGCTTCTGGAATAAGGGATTTTAATCAGAGGAAGGAAGAGGACTGTTTTCAGAAACGCT